GTGGTGGTTAGTGGCGGGGGGGGGGGGGGGGGTGTGTGTAGATGGAGTCGCAGTTGCCAATACAGGTCACACAACTTGGTTTTTCTTGATCACGATTATTGAGCATGATGTTTTGGCATAACAGATACAGTGTACATGGTAAAAGTTTTGGTTTTGGCAATAAAATATTCTAATTTCCTTGACGGGAGGAGTGGCGTCACTTTTCCTGTTTGCGCATCATGTTCCTGGAGGTGTTGGCATCGCTCATAGTCAGCCATGTTTAAAGTGGATCCATCAGTAACCGTACAGAACACATTCCTGAAATGCCACAGCAGGGGTAGGCAACCTTGGCACTCCAGGTCCCATGAGGCTGTGCAAGGCTCTGACAGCCCCAGCCGGGACATAATGGGATATGTAGTTTTAGTACAGTTGGAGGTTGCCTAGCCTGGCTGTGTCACAATATACAGCAACAGAATCATTTTTTTCCCCAGAAAATATCTGCAATTTAGCATTTGAAAAACTGTCCATGAAACTCCATTCCAGGCTGAGAGGATGTCCTCAGTCTTCTCTCCCCCAATGACCAGACTGCAACATTGTAACTGTAGCAAGTCACAAGGTGAGAGGCTGCAGCAGATGCTGATTGGTGTCAGACATTTGTGAACACAGCCAAGAACGGCACCGGGATTTACATGATTGTGTCATCTGTGAGCCGGCATCTCAGTCCAGGAAGTAGATGGTGACCCTGGATGATGTCTGAACAAAGATGGCTCCATCTTGTGGAGAGAAAAGCAGAGCCGATGAAGACATTGCCAGGGGGAGTACAGTGATCTCTGAGAGGGAATATCTACCAGGACGCGTTACACCGACACATTTGATGACATGCTGCATTTAACTTGAAAATATATTATAATATTTATTTTTTTATTAAAAGGTGCCGGTAAAAGACAAACAGTCTTGTAGTATGAAATGGGATCAGGAACTCCCCCCATTGTTATGTTTAATATTGGGCCTCATGTCCCCTCCCCGGCTGTTCATTGTCACAGAGGTACAGCGCTCGGTCTGCAGTGGTGAACCGCGAGATGGAGAGCGGCGCGGAAACCGCGAGATGGTGACGTATTCGGAGGAACCGCGAGATGGAGAGCGGCGCGGAAACCGCGAGATGGTGACGTATTCGGAGGAACCGCGAGATGGAGAGCGGCGCGGAACCGCGAGATGGTGACGTATTCGGAGGAACCGCGAGATGGTGACGTATTCGGAGGAACCGCGAGATGGTGACGTATTCGGAGGAACCGCGAGATGGAGAGCGGCGCGGAACCGCGAGATGGTGACGTATTCGGAGGAACCGCGAGATGGAGAGCGGCGCGGAACCGCGAGATGGTGACGTATTCGGGGAATCTATTTTCAGATTATAATGAGGCAAAAAAGATAAATAAATAAAAGCCGAGCGGACGGCTCGTCTGACCTATGTTTCAGCTGATGAATGTGAGATATTATTGTGTTTATTAAACCCCTGTACTGCACAGGCTCCGCCCCCCACCGGGCTCCTACATTGAGGTTTGTAACGTGAAGTCGGCCTAACATGAGTGCTGGGATTTCTTTTCTTTTTGCCGGACGGTTACTCTCTAAAGTACCTAAACTTATTTTTGGCTCAGGACAATTTTCAGCAAGTACAGAAAGGTCGCGTCCTCGTCACTTCCTGTGAGCTGAAGAGAAAGCAAAAACTATTTTTTTTATGTGTAAATCTGATGGATCCCCCACGTAAATGGAGCTGAACAAAGGCAAATGTTTAAAGTCCAGGCGGGGTGACAACCATGACTGCTGCCTCTATATATGCAGTGGAGTGTTGACATTTACTGGCAGGATCACTAAGTGAAAATAAAGAGAAAACCGCCAAGTGTAAGGATTGGGAAGTTGCAATATGACATTTGGGTTTTTACATGAATTACAGCCTACGCAGCAAGACAGCGTTGTCACCACAGCTCGACCCTCTCAGGAGAGAAGAGGGCTATATGATGGAAGGAAGGAAAGGGCCGTGCTGGGAACATTGCAAGTCAAATAAAACAAATTCATGGAGAGATAAAAACAATGACTTCATTTACGAGAAGTCACTCACTTCCTGTCCTAGGGTGACAACACTCACTATTCTGCTGTATTCAGAGGGGAGGAGTGGTTGTCACCCTAGGTTGCTCTGTAACTCTAGAGGAAGATGTTTGTAATCCATCATTACATGGGGAGGGGGATTAAGTCACTTACAGAAGATGGTTTGGAAGGCAAATAAGAATATCTGTGTGTGTGGGGGGGGGTTACCTCACAGGAAGTGACAAGGACTCGGCCTTTCTGGCAGGATCAACACACATTTGTGTACTTGCTGAAAATGTTCTTAGTTTGAAACAAAAAAAGAAAACGAATGCGGCCGTGATATACCTCAGGTCTGGTTTGCTGCTATATATAGGATTGATGTTGGGTTTAGCTATACTTTAATGTCATTATCAGTGGACTTGTGTTGGGAAAACTTAGCAGTCTAATTCTTCCTGAACTTCCATCATCAGCTAAATATTACTGGACCTGATCCGACTCCATTCTACAAGCCCATGCCAGAGCCAAATGGATGAATCAGCTGACATATGTGCACTTGCCACGTGTTCATTCACCAAAATGTTTTGCACATGCTATGTTCCTGCACTGCGTCCGCAGTCCCGGGCCGCCTCCTGCACTGCGTCCGCAGTCCCGGGCCGCCTCCTGCACTGCGTCCGCAGTCCCGGGCCGCCTCCTGCACTGCGTCCGCAGTCCCGGGCCGCCTCCTGCACTGCGTCCGCAGTCCCGGGCCGCCTCCTGCACTGCGTCCGCAGTCCCGGGCCGCCTCCTGCACTGCGTCCGCAGTCCCGGGCCGCCTCCTGCACTGCGTCCGCAGTCCCGGGCCGCCTCCTGCACTGCGTCCGCAGTCCCGGGCCGCCTCCTGCACTGCGTCCGCAGTCCCCTTAGAAACCTGACAAAGGCTTCAACCCTTCCCTATCCATCTCATTTTTGGAGTTGATAAATTCTTGGAAATCCGTATTATACAACAGTATGAAGGCACCTGAAGCATGAGATAGAGAAAACGTATTTAATGTAGGAAGCCCTTTATCTATTCACCCCATCAGAGAGCCCGGGGTGTCATCATAAGGTGACTTTGTGCATACAATCATGATATGAAATAGAAAAACCACACGATTCACAGTTCTTCCACACCTAAAAAAATGCAAACTCAGCAACAGAGGGCTAAACATGGCTATGCACTACGATTGGGCCGACCATTCATGACAAATCGATTTCCACAGTACAAAAAGCATTTAATTTCAATTATTAATAGCAAGAGAAAAAAAAAAAAAGGATTACATTGTATTTCTAGGCAAAACATTGTCCATAATTCCCTATTGTACCCTCTACTCTTCCACACACAGAGGTTCAATTATCTCCCATGATTCCACAGAGAACCTTTTCCATCCCAAGACTGAACACCTCCGCAAGCACAGCACAGATATATTCGGCCTCATTACTGCCCTCAATGTTATTTAAAAACAAAAAGAAGACGTAAGCTGGCCCGGGCTCCATGGCCTCTATAGTCCATAATTCAGGGCCCCGGAGTAGCTGGCGAGGAGGGAAGATCTCTGTATTAAAGAAATGAGAAGAGTCAGCAGAGGACTTCCAGCTTGGGTTTGCAATGTAGTAATTGGTGAGAGAGAGTAGATGGAATTGTAACAAGGGGACGGGCCCGGTGGCCATGATCCTCTAGCATCTCTTGTGCTCTTTGCCCTTCCAGTAATTGCTGTAGGTAGCCTCAAACATCTTCTTGCAAGAGATCTGGGACTTCAGCTTGGAGCAGATGAGGAATGAGCCGCCCATCTTTCTGTGGAGGGAATAAGTCTCTTCCGGAGGGGGGATGAGACGGTGCTTTAACATGACGGGGATGAGGCCATGGATTCGTTCTGTGGTGCTCTGGCAGCCAAAGTTGAAGGGGACTTCTGAGGCGAAGGCTTCTCCCAGGATCAGGACGGCTTCCAGGTGGGCGTTCTCCATAGCCTGGAACACAAGGAAAACTAGTCGGACCGGAAAATCTTTCTAGAAAATATGCTCAACATACAGTGATCAATAAACGTGCAGCCGTTCACGTCCCAAATCGAAGAATTTTATATTTTCTGTAATAACTTTCTCTTGTAGTCCATTGAGAAATGGGAAAGAGGTTCCACAATGGGGAAAGGGCTGCTCAGTCAGGCAACCATCTCATTACAAGAAATCAAACATTGTGAGAGCCCATACAACATACCCCAGGTGGAAAGATAAAAAGGAAAACCCCGGAAGACTGGAAAGAACCGAAAAGGGACGAGCCCTGAAGTGGAAGTAGAGGGAATTAGCGGATCCCTTAAAAAGAAGGGGATGGGCACAACTGAGAGAACCTCACCACCCGAGAGATGAGCAGAAATACTTTCACCCCAACATCCAGAGTGTACCCCAGCTTTACAGATAACATTGCTCACCTGCCTAGTAATTCTGTAGTACATGAATCTAGGAATCGGTCACCTTGTCCTCCATTGCAGTGCGTTG